ATGGTCTTGGTCAAAGCATGGCGGAACTGCTGCCTGAAGCTTGCCACCTCAAAGAGGTGGCCAAGCCTTACTATGGATGACCACAGACCGGGCAGCCCAGTCACCAGTATCGGTCTTCGAGTCAGTGCCAGCTGGTGGATACAACATTGGACAGGAAGGAATGGGCAAATGGCCCCGTACCCATCTGACATATGTTTGCTGTGAGTTGCACTGCGAATTCTCTTGACCACTGCAACATTGGTCTTGAGTGCGTCGGAGCAGCATAGGGTCGCATTGATGGGAACATCGCTCAGAATGGTCTGTGGTATGTGAAAGCTCCGGAAGCGGTCACTGACATTGCCAAGGAAATGAAAAAGGCGGGAACCAAACTCTGCAGCAATCCCCTCTGTATTCGCCTTTGGCAGGCACACCATTGGTGTGACCACAGAGAAGTGCTTGCACTGCGATGTGTGAGAATCATCCTTGCCACTCACAGAGGAGCTGGGTGAAAAATTGACACACACATTTTGCACATGATTCATGCATGAGACTACACGAGACGACTTGATGTGGGGAGCGGCAGCTAGGCTGGCAGAGAGCCTAATGTTGGTGTCGTCAATCACGCTTGTAATCAATGTATGGTTGATGCGTTTGGATCTTCTTGCGTCGTTTCTGCCCTCACTTGGAGCATCAGTGCGCCCGCCACCAAAGAAAGCAACTATTGCCAACCCCCAAGATCGCATGTAAGACACCAACAATCGTAGCCGCTGCATCCGTTGTTGGCTGGTACAACCAGGCAAATTGAGAGGACTCTTTGCTTTGAGTAGGTGTCGGTATTCCTCAGCCGGATGAGGAGGGGGGTTCAACACCCCTTGTCTGGCCAGTTTTCTTCTGCCCTTGTTGAGCAAAGCAGTTTCGCGAGCTTTGGCAGTCCTGAGTCTTCTTCTCAGCTGCTGCCTTTGGGCCTGAACTTTGCTGTCAGTGGTTTGGGATTCATCTGTCTCAGAAGGTGACGGTGAATCTGACAAATCGGATGATTGGCCACCGAAGCAATTTTTGCTGCTGCTAGAGTCTGTGCTGCAAGGGCTCCCACACTTGGAGCCGGATGGGTCTTCTTGCTCATCGGCCTCAGACCCTGATTCTATTTCTACGTTTTTGCCACGCGAAATCCTGAGAAACGGCATGGCACTAGGTGGGGAAAAAGAAAATGTGTTGCTGCACTATACTGTACTGTTTTCTAAGAGGTGAACAACTTTGAACAAACTACAACTCAACTTCCTAGCCTATCCTGTCAGCCTCAAAGAAAACCAACACCTGCCGGTCAAAATAAATCTTGAATCTTGAGGGTCATCATTGCCATTGCCTACAGTATGAGCCAAGCTTGCAGCATTGTGGGCTACAAAAATTGAACGACCGGTCCTGCATAGATCTCCGCTACTGGGCAAACAAATTGACTCACTGAGTAGTGACAGTAGCGATGCACAGTAGGCCAGCCTCATACTTGGACCACTCCCCCTCCAAAGGAGGATCAAATTTGCGCAAGATACCACATACCTAAGCTGGGTAGTGAGCGGACGGCAGCCCTGACCACTCAGGTCAAGGATGGAGGAGGGTGGAAGTTAAAACGTTACCGTAAGCCGTAAGCCGTAAGTCATAGACTGAGAGTGCAGTGTTTTGTTGTGAAGTACAGTACCAGTACTGTGCTGTAAAACAAAACCCAAAATCATAGGAACATCATCGTCATAATTTGGTAATCGGATGATGACAACAAAAAACACATTGGAATTGGAAATTGCACTACAAGCGGTGGAAATAGCAGGAAATCATGCAAACATCTGAGATACTTGGATTCTAGCGCTACAAATACAATTGCTTTGACCGACTCTGACTCTTGGCCTCTAGCATCCAGCTCTTCAAGCCTTTTGCCTATGCTTTCCATGAGCGGTGGGGGGCATTGAATGCTAGAATCCTGAGCTACCAAAGAAAAACATGCAAACACTCCGTTTTCATTCCATTCAATTCCCCCACAATGGTGTTTCAAGAATTTTGCCAAGCCTCTTCCTCGATCACAAAAGTCTTGGGGTTTTGTTTGCGGAGCAGTCGCAAACAGCTGATCACCACCTGGCCCCCCTTCCTTAGTTCGTGCTGGTTCCAGGTTGTGACATTCAAGGGGCTAAATTTGGCCAATACGCCATACTTTATTGATTCTGTTTCTCTCAGTCAGTCTGACTCAAACTGCCTGCTGCCTGACTGTAATAAGTTTGAATTGGCTGAACCAATTGCTGGAAAGTTTCTGTGTAAACGGGTTGTATTCCCCTGGTGCATCCCCTGTTGCTGTTCGCTTGGGCCGAGTGCGCTGGTTCAACACTGAGAACAACGGGCAAGGTATGCCCATGACACCGATATCCAAGTCAGGTTCCCAGGCAGGAGTGGTAGCATCCTCAGCGCCACCAGCCACAAATGTCGCAAATCACAAATCACACATGTACCTTCATGTAGCATGTATTCCGTATTCCATATTGTGCGGTTTTTGTTTTATCTGGTTTGTATAATCGCGGCGTGCGAGATGATTTGATATAATGTAGTGGTACTATCCATGAGACTCCATGAGGTGATCAACAATGCAGCACTACCTGAAACACGTGATTCCACGTAACTGCAGTGACACCAAGACTGATGCCTGGATGTGATACATGGGATATGAATTAGATTAGATGTTCACCCAATTGCTGCCAGAACACGATACTGTGGGCCGTGTCACACACAAAGCAGTGCTGATCAACGCCAGTATCCACCGTCACATCTGCCACAAAATGTTGCCCTTGGCAAACACACAGACAGTCACAGAGTCACAGAGTGCATAAATCATGAATCATGAACAAATGCATGATGTAACACACTGCGACTGCCATGATAAAATAGTTGTTGTATACACTGTATACTCTGTAATCTGTATACCTGTATACCATATACCTGTACTTTCTTTGCAACCCGCTACAACACAAACATGCATGCTGAATGCCTTTTGAGACTTTGAGTCTGAGTATTTCCTCTAACATGGACGATCAGACAACTTCCAAGAACACTGGCAAGCACATCCGAAAGTCGGAAATGAATTATCCACTCACCAATCTGCAGCCAGGGTTCAAGCGCAGTTCTTGAGGCTAAACCTTCGTGCTTTTGGAGATATTTCTGAGCTGAACTTGAACTCAAAATGAAGTCCAGTCTGCTCGGCAATGCTCTGCCTCAGGCAACTTTAAGTTAAGAGCTCCTGCACTGTCCAGCCACCCTGTTACCATTGCCACAACTAGGTCTTTTTTTGTGTGGGGTTCAAGGACGAAATCACAACAGGTTCAGGTACACGGTGAACTGAACATTAACAAAAGCAAAAGTGAAGCGTCTGGATGTGTGTCAGGTCATGATGGTGCAAACAAGGTGCATTATGTACGGTACTGTGCCCAAGCCTTCGCACGCGCCAAATACAGTCACCCTTGGTCCAGAAGAAGTCCACAGAGCTGTTCTTCACACAAAGTGTGTTTCCAAGATGATATATATATATATAAATATAAAATACTGGTACTGGTACTGATACTCTATCTATAGCCTATAGCCTATAGCTTGAAAATTAGACTATTACTATCGCGTGTCAATATTCAGTCTGAATTCGGCGGCAAAAGACTGTGCCACTGAGCAACTTCTGATGTGGTGCAAAATGGGCAGGTGTAATTTCAGTGCCAAGCAAGTTGAAATACCTGAGGAAGTTGTCAGCCAGGCCAGGATCAACCACTTTCTACTCTAGGGCACCCCAGCCAGGTGAGGTGATAAAAAAGAAGAACATCCAGGTAACATCCACGTCCACTCTGTCCACACTGTCCATCCTTTGGCAAAATGATGAAATCCCCAACCCAGCCACCATGTTTCACTGACAAATCTTGTTGGAATGATTGGTTGGGCATTTGCAATCCTGCCAGCCTTGTTGCGCAGGAACCCAATTTGAAGGAAACATTGAGAAGTCCTGTTCTTCAGGAGGTTGATCATCACTATCCTGAGTCTTGAACATGGCGGCAGCAATAATGTGTGTGTGTGGTTGAAAGTTGAAGGTTGAACCTGAGCAACCTTAGACCTTGGAATGTCATCTCATCTCCAGTCAGCCCAAGAACCCAATCACTCCACCAGCCGCCACTGCTTTGGCTTTGACAGCTGGACGAAGAGTCTGACTCAGAAGATTCCGGCGCCGATGCATTTGATGATGCAGATGGAGTGGAAACCTGAGTGAATGTGCATTTGGCATAGTAGGCGGCAGGAAACACATATCAAACTTAAAACCCAGTGACACCGCATTGACTCAGCATCATCTTTACTCACAACCTCACAACTTGACTCAGCTGGAAAAAGAGCCGCTCATAACTACCATTGTTTGTTTCCTTGTATAGTTCCTTGTATATAATGTGAATAATGTGCTTCAAGAAAACTTTCACAAAGTTCATGGGAGTGGCACTCCATAGCCCTGGCCCTGAATCATTCCAAGGCTCAACAGTATTTGAGAAAACCCGCTTCAGAGTCCGCATCACAGACATGGCTGACAGCACGCTGGGGTTTATATAAAGTCCAAAAGCATCCCAAAACCAAGTCTTCCAAATTCCATATTTTTCTGGATGGCAACATGTTTGTCTTGGCGATTCTTGGCGCTCAGCTTCATGATTTGAGCCACCTGCCATGTGACTGAAACAAATAGTTGTCCAACTCCTAAGTCCAGTCTGCAGGGGGACAGTCTGACAATCCTGGAGCAAATCCCTCTCCACAACGTCATTCCCAACATCAACTTAAACATAAACTGCAACATGGCCACATCCTATATGGCCATGTGGGACAGAAAAGGCCTTTAAAGAGGCCAGTAGCGGCTATAACCCCGAGATCCCTTCATGCCCTTTACAGACATGTTATCCTAGCTCAAGAATGCTCAACTGGTTTCAAACAAAGGTCCTCCAAGCCTTCCGCCGGATTGGCTGCAGCAAAGTCACAAGGCTCAAGAACCTCAACACCAGGCGTTCCCGCAGGTGCCATGGGCGCCACATTGACCATGCTAGTCTGTGCCAATCCCTGAACTCGTGGCAATTGGCCCGGGCATGCTGGATAGACTGCATTCGAACGCACCTGAACGACTGGCTGCGGCTTCACAACCACCCTCACCTGCTGAACCCCACCACTGCTCAGCCAAGGGCCTGGAGTCATCCTCATTGCTGCCACATACGACAGTGGTGCGCCGGTCTGCACAAAGCGCTGAACCGACTGGGCCGGAACAAACACTCGAGGGCATTGCAGAGCCATCTGGCGCGGTGGCATCAACATGATTTGTTCGTAGAACTTGTCTGGGCCAGATAAGCTAGTGGCGATGTTGGATGAACCAAGTTCTGCAGTGCCCTCTCCTCGTCTCAGTACCATCTTCATGTCTTGACTCTCAAACACTCGCAAAGCTACTATCATGGCAAGATGCAGTTTAATGTCACTAGACAGACCAAAAGCAGGATCGAGTCGTGTCTCTACAACTGGACGTCACATGACGTCTGGCCCCGGAGAAACGGATGACCCTCTGAGCAATCGGACTCCATGCAGGAAACAATGTAGCGATCCAGGGTGTCCCAAACCTGCCAGGTTTGGGACCTTGACGTCACAGAATGTGACCGTTCGTAGCTTCTTGTTACCTTCGTAGCGTTCGAATGCTCCGTTCGTAGTAAAGGCCAGTTTCGCCCCGTGCGTAGCGAACCTTGTTACTAGCAATGGCCTCCAACCTAGTAGCTTCTTGTGACTAGCGCCAAGAACCTCACTGAGGCACCTCCCGCAAAAAGGCGGTTCCCGCCTCGCGGAGGGGAAGCTCTTCTTCCGAGCGCACGCACTGTGCGAACCTCCGCTGGGCATCCTCGGACGGCACACGGACGAAGCAGCGTGCTCCCCAGCTTGGCCAACACGTAGACAGATGGAAACGAGGGGCAGCCACTCCAGTTCCCCGGACCTCACAACCCCCCCTTCCAGAAGAGTGCGAAACGGCAAGACACTTCCAGGAGCTGATCTACATTGTAGGTCGACATCCCATGCTTTGGCAGGAAAAGATCATGCAATGCTCGTCTTGTGGAGCTGAACAGAAACATGATGAGTTGTCTTGTCATTTTCTTTATTTCTGCGTTTCTTTTTTCTTGGTTTCTGTTAATGGATGTTAAAGGGGTTTTAATGGTCATGTTCTACTTCTACTTCTTCTTGTTATATAATCTTCTTCATGTCTTTCTGGCTCTCTCTCATGGAGCTGAATGAATTGAGGGGCGTCACATGGTGTCACAGTGTCTATCTCAAGCTCAACAGAGTTTTTCCGTAGGTGACTGAGTGTTTCTGTTTTCAGTACGGACAGCATCAAACCGGTCTGCATAGGCTTAAACTATCTTAAACTGACAGCTGACCATATCAAATGGCTCTGATTAGGTTCCAAAAGTTCTGTCTGCGGAAGCTCCGCTCGTTCGATCGACTGCCCTCCCTGCCGAGCTGACACACAGCTCTGTCCAGCTGTTTCCCTCACTGTCCAGCTGTCGTTTCTGTCTCTGGTGTGTGTCTCCGTGTCTCATGTCTTGCCCGGCTGGAGCCACGGGAACAAGGCGGCGGCGATGGAGCGTGGTCGCAGCACACAGGGCTTGAAAGGGGGCCACATGAGTCTACACTCCGAATCTTCCACAAGCAGGTGTTCCAGTAAAGAATGACGTTCCACTTGTGGGTTTTGGGCACAGTCGGTCAAAACGCGACGATGTCACACCATATGGTCCACCTCCGTTTCCACCACCTCGCTTCGCTTCGCGTCTCCCGCATCGTCTCCCGCATCGTCCCGGTTCTCCCGCATCATCCCGGTTCTCCTCGTACGTAGCGACACTTCGTTACGCAAGAATGCTCCGTTCGTCGCGAAGGCCAGTTTCGCCCCGTTCGCGGGAACTCCGCGGCCCCCGAACGGTCCGCACCGTCCGACGGTCACCCGGTGTTTCTCGGTGTTTCTCGGAGGCACGAGACGCGCAGCTTTGAGACGCGCAGTCGCTTTGAAACATGAGCAGCTGCTCACGGAGGTCCCCTTTTGGCTCCGCGCGACTCACAGCACGCTCACGGCAGGCTCCTGGCAGTCGCGGAGGACCCTGTAACGGTCAGCTTGACCGGGTCAGCTTGAATGGAAAGCAGTTTGACGCACGATGTTTGACAACTTTAAAAAAATGGCTGACCTCGTTTGATGCAGTCTCAACATCCTTATTTATAAAATAATGGTTGCTAATAATGGTTGTTGGAATCCCAGGGAACGACTGTTCGATCTCACACACCTTTTCGGCCCTGAGGAACCTTTCTCGCACGACCGGTTCCTGCGTTTCCGCACCCCAAAACTTCCGGTCTTGTTTCAGACGATTTCGATGGCGTCCCTTCGTATGTTGAAAAATAAGAAACAGTGACATCCACCCATCAACACGACCAACCACCATCCAGCAATGTCCCCACAGCACCACGACAAAGAGCATCCCCGTGCGCAGCTGCTGCGCAGCCCAACCACTGCATCTGCTGCCTCTTCGTGGGAGACGAGTAATTCTGCCGCTCAGCGCGCGGCAAGCTCCTGCGTCGACGTGGCCGACACCCATGACGGCCACCCTGGGTGTGTCCTCACTTCCCAGTGAAGTGGCGCCGCAACCAACGCATGCATGACAGATTCTTGTTGGCTTTATTCATGGTTCTTTGGGGGTCCAAGTTGGAAGCCGGTTCATGAGCGCTTGAACCGGTTGGATGCCACCGAAGACCTCGGTTCCACATCACCAGTTCACACCCCCACATTAGATCGGTGGGGCCGGACAACAGGGTTCCCCGGCCAGTTGGACAACAGCCCAAGACCCACGCCGTGAGGTCCTTTTTTGGGGGAAACCACACCCTCAAAGACATGAACACCGAATTGATTCTCCTCAGGAAAAAAAATGAGGTAAAGATGTTCCACCTTTGACACGCAAAAAGTGGCGACACACAGGCGGGCCCAAAGCGTTCTCGAAAATTCAGAGCACCACGTCGCATCTGTAATATGTATGGAAAAAGAGACGGCGACGACGACGACGACGACAACAACAACAGCAACAGAAATGAGATTTGACCCTCAGACATCCTCAAAACCAGGCATGACCCATCCCACGCGGCAGATTGGTCCGGCACAACGGTGTTTTCGGCTCCCCGTCCTCGCAAATGTCCTTGCCACTGGAGCAGCAGTCATCTGGAGGCCCGACCGGCGCTGACTCGACCCCGCGGCGTCCGCGCGGGAACGTCCGCGACGGGGGGCGCGGCTTCCGGTTCGGGCTTCCGGTTCGGGGCGACATGGACGAACCAAAGAACGCTTTCAGGTGAAGACGTGTTGAACTCAGTTTTGAAGCACCCAGTTCTGCAAGAAGTGCGTAAAATGTGAAGATCATGATCTGTCACTCCTTTTCTCTTCGACACCGTGACCGTCTAGACGTCTTTGCCGGAAACGTGCGCTCCCCCGGACGTTCGTCCGGAGACTCCCACAGCTCGCGAGCACACCACGCCTAGGTAGCTGACCTGGTATTCCAGCTCACCCCACCCAGCCATGACGCCAGAGCCTTAGGAATGCACGCGCGTCACGTCATTCAGACCCTGACCCAGCCAACGCGGGTTCCGCGGGTGTCGCGGGTGTCGTGGGTGTCGGTGGGGGAAATGAGTTGTCACAGACAGCGGGAGATCGTCCAGTTGGCCTCCAAGACCGAGGAAACCCGGCCCACACAGAGATCGGACGGAGGGGGAGTCGATGCAAACAGCTGGGGCGGTGGGGCTGGGGCGGGGGAGGGGTTGCACTCCAAGTCACAATCGGACTTGTCCAGGGCTTCCTTGATGCCCTGGCCAAGTCGTTGTGGTGAAAAATCTCTTGGTAGGGGTTGTGCACAATTGTAGCGTCCGTGCTAAAAGAAGAAGCGATGCCCTTGTTACCAGTAGTTTCTTGTTACTAGTAGTGATGCCAGGAGCTACTAGTAGCTTCTTGCTCCTAGTAGCGATGCCCTTTGATTCTCAGTAGACCTTGTAGATTGATGTTGTGCCATTCGAAGGCCTCAAATTCATGAATTTTATGGGATCTTCTGTTTTGTCGACTCTCGGCTTTGGCTCCAAAAGCTTCGAATGCGAGTGGAAAAACTTTTTGTATAACGGATGGTTTACTACATATTGTGATTATGTTGTTACCGGTTTCAGATGTGGTGGCTTGGTCTCTTGAAGGAAAACCTCTTCAAGAATCTAGTGCTTGCATTCGTCACAGCTGGCTGCCACTTTTGCGCCGTTGAGCCAACACGATGACCATGAAACGTTGCTAAAGGCTCAAGAAATGCTCCTGGACCTGAGAAGAGTCACCACCGGAATCTGATTCACCCCATGTAACGACTGCGCCGTTGGCCAGTATGGCCACAAACGCATGATAGCCGGCTTTGAGGTGCTGTACATTCCTGAGCTGGACCGCGGGGCTTTCACCGCCGAAAGCTGGATGGCCCCACGTCACCACTGATCCATCTTCCAGGATTGCAGCAAAGGCCTTATCTGCCCCGTGAACCTGCTGCACACTCTTGAGCTGATGTTGGACTGCAGAACTGTCACCAGTCTCTGAGATGCCCCACGTCACAAGAGATCCATCCTCCAGCATTGCAGCAAATGCGCCGCCGGCTGACCAAAGTTTCTGCACACCCTTCAGCTGATCTTGGACAGCAGAACTGTCACCCCCCGGCCCACCCCATGTGATGATTGACCCATCTTCCTTCAGCGCAGCGAACGCGCAATTGTTGCCCTGAATCTGCTGCACACCCTTGAGCTGATCTTGGACTGCATCACTGTCACCACCCTCATCCTCATGGCCCCAGGTCACGACAGATCCGTCTGCAAGGAGTGCAGCAAATGCTTCATGGCAAACTCCTCCCTCAATTTGCTTAACATTCCTGAGACGGGCTTCGACGCGACTGCTGTTACCTCCAGCATATGGACTGCCCCATGTCACAACTGACCCATCTGCGAGGATGGCAGCAAATGCTTCAGATGTGGCCCGGAGCTGCTTCACGTTCTTGAGCTTGTCTTGGACGTCAGAGCAGTCACCGCCTGTTCCTTCATCACCCCACGTCACAACCGATCCGTCTGCTAACAAGGCAGCGAATGCTCCGAATGTGCCCAGAACCTGCTGCACAGTCTTGAGCTGATGTTGGACTGCAGAGCTGTCACCACCCCTTTCTGAGTTGCCCCACGTCACAAGAGAACCATCTTCCAGTATTGCAGCAAATGCACCACGTGTCGATGCAATCTGCTGGACACCTCTGAGCTTGCCTTGGACTGCAGAACTGTCCCCGCCTTCAGCCGGTCTGCCCCATGTGACCACTCTGTCACCTCCACGGATGCACAAGGCAAAGGCACCCCCAGATGCGGCAAGGATCGGCTCGACTGCAAGAGCTGTCACGTGGTCTCCATCTTCCAGCCCGGCAGCTTGTAGAGATTCGGTGGCATCAGTCAGGACAACACCCTTGGCAGTCACCAACTTCAAAAAGCC